TTTAGATTTTTCTACCTGGATTATTGAGCATGCATCAGGATAATTATGGACTGTTTTGACCAGTTGGCCCCTCAACTCAAATTACAACATTTCTTCAAGAGAAGACAGGCTTCAGGCGAGCCAATTTGCCCTGTTGGCACGCACGCAGCTGGATATCTCATCGACTGGAAGACTTGATGATGTGTCTGTCTCTGCTCCCACTTGTGGATTTTAAGGACGCATATTTAATAGGATTTTTGATAACTGGGTCCTGCTTTTTGAATTCGGCTGGTTGCTGGTTTTATCTACAATTCCAACCGATAACCAGATGGAACCAGCTGAATAAACTTGTGTCATCATTTCAGGACTCTTGGATTCTCATAGACTTTATTCTTGGCCATTCCTCAACATACCTCGAGAATGTTTATGGATCTCACCGGAGGACATTGACTGATTATTCCATCCTTATCAGAACTCTCACAGTGACTTTGAGCATCTATGAACATTGCTGACCGCTCTCGTCTCCTATTGCAGAATGTCTACGTCACTATGTGCTTGTTTGTGCGAGGTGTTTTTTTTTTTTAATATTGGAGGGTTTTTTTCTCAGGCAGGGAAAAAAATGTCTGATAGGAATTTTTTTTTGCCTCCAACTCCTACATGTGTCCAGTTAACCACTGTTTTTGTCTGTCCAAACAGGTCTCACTTGTAAATGAGTCTTTGAGGCTCAATGTGATTTATCTGTTTAAATAAAGGTTGAATGGATTAATTATTGCTTTATCTCAGATTGTAAAACCATTCATTCTATGGCAATAAAATACGTTTTGAGAAATTATCACGATGCACTTCTTCATGGAATGAGTCAGACTTCTACAAAATGCTGCAACTCAATTAATTGATTGATTGATTGATTTAAACTGGTACAAGCAAGAAAGAACACATTTGTCCAGTTTTAGCTTCCAGTTCACTGTTGGATTCATTTTAAATCTTTTATTTGTTGGAGCCACGTATTAAAAGTCACTGTTGTTCCCTCGGCCTAGTGTGAGATGATGATAATGTTTTTCTGCTTTTATTTATTTGCCCGCTCATTTTTCTTGTTTCTTGTTGCTTGTGCAGCTGAATTTATTTTGATTATATTATATTTATTTTGTGTTCTCTGCTTGTTTTATTTCTTCGATTGGCTTTGTTGCTGTTTTGAAATGCTTTAATAAATAAAATTATATTATTCTCCAAACGCCTGTTCTTCGTCATTCCTTGTTGTCAATTTATCTTATTGTTGTTGATTCTATTTTTCTATTCTCTGCTCCACCACCTTCTCCACAGAGTCAAGGCTCAGTCCCACCACAGAGACCGCCTTCTTAATGAGTCGATTCAGCCTTAGGATGTGCTTCTTCCTAGTGCTGCCCCCAACACACAACACCAAAAAAAGTATACTGGACACAATGAATGGGTAAAACACATGCAATAACTTATTAGAGCAGACCCTGAAAGAGGCCAGCCTTCTGAGAAAGTACATCCTGCTCTGCCCCTTCTTGTACACAACATCCATATTTGCAGCCCAGTTCAGCTTGTTGTCCAGCTGTAACCCCAGATACTTATAGGTTGACACCACCTCAACCTCCGAT